CCCCAAAAACCCCAAAACCCCAAAACCCCAAAACCCCTTTTTATTTTTGAGCAATTGGAATAGAAGAATTAGTGAAAAACTAAATGGGGTTCAAATACTATCCCCACCATTTTGGCACGGAGGACTCATAGGCACCAGAAGCGTTGTAGATCGCAGAGCTCGCTCCAGTTGCTCTTTCTTTGTTTAGACTCACAGCTGCTCTGATCTCCTGAGCATGGCGAAGGATTCTAGCTTTTCTCCTTTCATTGTCATTAACAGAAAGGTTATCCATTTCTTTAGTGGTTGATGGCAATCTCATGTTGTGTTTCTTGATACTTAGAGGTTTAATCACACTTCTCTTAAGAGGCTCTCTATGATCTTGACTTCTCGAGTTCATATGACTAATAAGGTCATATTTTCTGCCACTTCTCATATCATGATAATTAGGCCTTTGCGCGGAATCCCTTGGGTAATCATAACTCGCATTATGGGATGCTCCATTGGCAACGTCTTGAACCATTTGATTTCTGAGCATGCGTTTCTCCCTTTCAAGCTTCTCAACTTCCTTGGCTCTTTGGGAATACTTTTCTCTGAGTTTCAAATAATTTTGCTTTTTCAGTGACTCAGCCGCATCTCTTGCTTCTTCCCGGCACTTATTGTAAATATTAGGGATGCCGTTAATGGAACTAGGAGTGGTCTTGGGGATTTGCCTCTGCTTCTTTCCAGTCCGGGACTTCTTCCTCCCATACTTCCTCTCTATCTCAGCAATGGCTTCATACTTTGCAGCCTCCCTAGCTGGATCTTTGGGGAGGTTATCATGGCTTTTGTTTAAGCCCAAAACTGGTTGGCTTAATTTAGGTGATAATTCTCTGTTCAAACCCTGACAGTTTTCCTTCTCAATCTCATTTTCTTCGTACTGAGATTTGGGCAGCCTGTTGTTCAGGTGCTTTAAGTTGCGAGGTAACTTGATTGTGTTAAGTAGTTCTTGGCTTATTTCGTAATTCTCTTCTTCTAAGAGATGCTCTTCACAAGCTGGCATGTGGAGAATTTGACTTCAACTCGGCCTTTTGGAGGCGGAAACATTTAGCAAGGTAGCTATCATTGTGGACAAGTCTTTTGAGTATCTAGATGAGATTGAGGGGTATATGCCCTTCATAACTTTCTTGCATAGCCCTTGCATACTGGTGTCAGTAAAAGGGGGATTAAGAGTACACATTTCATATAAAACTACACCAAGACTCCAGATGTCGCTCTTTGAATCATAAGGTTTGTCCTGCCAAACTTCTGGAGAAGCATAATACGGTGTTCCAGTTTGAGTATAGACAAGTCCTGCTTTAGCGACTTTAGAAACATTTAAGTCACCTAATTTGACTGTCCCATCCTTATTAAGAAATACGTTAGCTCATTTCAAATCTCTATGAAGGACCTTATGAGCATGCAAAATTTTGAGTCCTTTGACAATTTGAATGAAGATGTCCCAAATTTTCTCCTCTGTGAAGTAAGTTTTTGCCTTTTTATGCTTCTTTATCAGATCATATAAGTCTCCTCCATCAGCCAGCTCCATAATGATGCAAAGTGAAGAAGGAGAAGTTGTCCAGAAGGCTTCTTTATAAGATACTACATTGTCAGAATTTACTGATGCAAGAATTCTGACTTCATTCAGAGCATTTTCCTTCTCCTTATCAGTCAGCTTACTGAGGAAGACTCTTTTGAGGGCATATTCCTGACCGTCATCGCTTCGTTTAACCCTATTGACCTTAGAGTAGGCACCTGCACCTAGCTCTTCATATATTTTGAAGTCTTTGAGAGAACTCATTTTGAATATTTTGAAAAAGTATGAATTATCTTCATACAAAACTTTATATTTGGGGTTTTGGGGTTTTGGGGTTTTGGGGTTTTGGGG